CGCATTCCCCCCAAAATCTACCCTAATTTCCCCTATATAACATCTTTTCCATTCATTGGTAAAGAGGAATTTTTTTTTATTTTTTTAGTTGAGAATTTTGAGTTTAGAAAAACATTAGAGAAGGATTGGATTTTTTTTCTTGTAGCAAGAACAATACAGAGAAAGCTTAAGCACTAGTATTTCAAAATACAAGTTAAAATAGGTTTCGGAGGCAGACGAGACTAGAAGCTTTTAGGTGTTTGGGTTCAGTGTTCGGCTCAAATTGCTTGTTCGTCATTCGTGTCCGAATCCTTGTGGTAGGAAGATCAGCTCTTCGCTCGTCGTTGTCCCTTGTTCGCTGCACCTTGTAAGGTAACGCCTTCTCGCAAATGTTCTTTCCTTCTTTTCTTTCTGTTTTTTTAAGGCAGTGCTCTGACGACGAGAGTTGTTACTTAGTTTGTGTTAGCTGTTAGCTGCTAGTTAGTGGATATGTGGTATATATGTTCTTGGTCTTTCCATCGAGTCGGTACAATGTCGAGTCAAAACTTTGGATATTCGTGGTTATTCTATGTTATTTTAGTTGAAGTTTTGCCTTTCGTTGATTTCTCTTTTCGAGTTTGCTCCTTGAAAGTCATCAAATCTGTTTATTTCCGTAATACTCGACACCATATCTTTCATTCCTTCACCTCGAGTTGAACGAATGAATTAAGATGTCAACATTTAGACCTCATGTGTGGTGCTTACGACTATTCGAAATTCGTATTGTGTTTTCTATCTGCATAAATGGCTTCATAGGCTTTGAGATGATTTTAAGTTCGAATTATATTGTGTATATGTCACTGAACCGATTTGCTTTGCACACATTTACCCTGCTTTGTTGTTGATGCTACATGCCCCTTTGGAAAAGTTGTTTTAGTCAAATAGAGCATCACAATTTGGATAAGTTTCTAATGTGTCATTTACTGGAAGACATCTTTGTATTTAATACATATTCATTTTGAGTGATTTTGCACTGGTTTGTTGATTGAGGCTTCCTGTAGTAGAGTTTTATGATAAAAAAATAAAAACTCTTCGTTGCGTTCAATTTTGCGTAACTGTTTGGTTTATGTCCTATGTTTTGTCGAAGAAATACTCCCCTTAGCATATAATATCCATATGTGTTCTTCACTGACCATCGAATAAATATACACATTTGGGTTGGGTAAATTTTATTTTTTTTCGAATCTATTGCTAATCGGATCATTTATGTTTGTTTATTTATGTATTTATTTTATGTCACTGTGTGGCGTCATTTTGGTATCACTGCTCACGTAGGTTGTTATATTGGTCTGTTTTGTTTGTAATGGCAGTTTGTCCATGTGCCCAACTTATTTGTTTTGTCCTAATTATTTGGAGGCATGTTAGATGTCTATTATTATTTTTTTAAAATTTTAGTTTGTCTTATTTTTATTTATTTATTTATTTTTGTTTTGTCTTTCATGTACATAATTTCGCCCTAAGCTTTACCTCTTCTTAGTTGTGTGTTAGAGATCAATTGCTACCAATTGTTATGTGTTGCCAACTATTTTCACTCTAATTCTATCTTTTTCTCTTGCATGTAAAATCTGTCCGAGTTCCCCAAGAACTCGCTCCTTCATTTGCATTTCGAGAGAGCAACAAAAGCTCAAATCTCTTCTTCATTGAGTCAACCGGCTATTAAGAATCGATGAACAGGTCTCGAAGTTGAAAGAAAAGTAGAGCAGATCGGGAGTGGAAAAAGATTGGGCCGAAAGCCCGCCCCTATTTATTCGAAATTGTATTTTATTATATTGGGCCTAAACCCCCTTGTCATTATTTATTATTATTGCGTTAGTTCTTAGGACAGGTGAAATTTGGGCCAAAGG